GGGCGGAGATAGAGAAACAACTTAAAAAATGGGTTAAAAATTTAATTTCACGAAGATTTCCGTTAATATAAACCTAAGCTATTTGTATTTTAAAAATGGACAAAGACCAAACCTGGTAAGTTTTTGAATACTTAAAGGACTAAAACCGGTAAGTTTATAGTTAAGGGACTAAAATCGGTAAGTGTATAGTTAATGGACCAAAGATGATAATTTTTTGAATAGTTAAAGGACTAAATCCGTTAAGTGTATAGTTAAGGGACCATTTTAGACCTACTCATATAGTTAAGGGACTATTTATGTCTGAGGATGGAACAAAGTGCTAAATTTCAACTTAGTACCCAAAGATTCCTGCAAGCTGCCCAAAATCTAGATGTAAACCTTGTGTCTCGGCCAGATACAATAGATACAGGGATTCCATGTTGTCTTACAATCTCATTAATGTACAATTCGGCTAAACGCTCAAGTGAGTAATCCATCATGATTGCTAAGAAGTGAGCACTCTTGGTTAGCCTGTACACAATCACCCATATTGCATCATGATTTCTCTGAGTGCGAGGAAGTCTAGAAACAAAGTCCATAGTTATTCTCTCCCATTTCCATTCCGGCATCGACAAGGGCTGTAGCAAATTAACTGGGACCTGGTGTTCTATCTTTACTTACTGACAAACCAAACATTTTGAAATGACTTTCGCAATGTCTCTCTTCATACCGTTCCACCAATAATATTCTTTGATGGTCTGGTGCATCTTTGTACCTCTAGGATGCATTGCATATGATGATGTATGTGCTTCATTCATGGGTTCTCTTCTCAATTTTTCATCATTAGGGACACATAACCTATTTTGATAAAACAAGGTACCACCTCCGTTAATACAAAATCAAGTTTTTCCCCATTTTGAACTTCTCTAGTAAATTTTATAAGTCTCTCATCTAATATTTGCGCTTCTTTCACCTGTTCAAGTAATATTGGTTTGACTTGCAAATTAGCAATAACTGAACCATTTGAATCAAGTGCAAAACAAACACTCATGGCTCTTAACTCAAGAAGTAAGGGCAACAGACTCAAAGCTAAGCTTGCGAAGAATTTTTTTCGACTTAAGGCATCAGCCACCACATTGGCTTTACCTGGATGATAGTTAATCGTGTAGTCATAATCCTTGATGAGTTCAAGCCACTATGTTTTCTTAGGTTCAGCTCCTTCTGTGTACCCAAGTACTTTAAGCTCTTGTGATGAGTAAATATATGACATTTTTCTCCATACAAATAATGCTGCCATATTTTTAAAGCAAACACTATAGCAGCAAGATCATGATCATGAGTAGGATAATTCAATTACGTGGTTTTGATTTCCGAGAAGCATAAGAAATAACTTTCCCTTCTTGCATCAAAACACATCACAGACCTCCATGAGAAGCATTACTATATATTACATATTATTTCCCTTCAATTGGTAGAGTAAGTATAGGAGCTTGTGTAAACAAGGATTTGAGAGTTTCAAGGCTCTCTTGGATTTGTCATCCCAAGTAAACTTTACTTCCTTTTTCAAGAGTTTAGTCAAAGGGGAGGCGATAATGGAGAAGCCTTTCACAAATCTTCTATAGTACCCTGCTAAGCCCAAGAAACTTCTTACCTCACTCGAAATTTTGGGAGGTCTCCATTCAACAACTGCTTGAATTTTTACTCAGATCAACCTTTACACCTTCAGTTGATACAACATGTCCCAGAAAATCCACTTCATTTAGCCAAAATTAACACTTGGAAAGTTTAGCGTAAAGTTCTTTCTCCTTCAAAATTTACAACACAATTCGAAGGTGTTTATCATGGTCTATTAGAAGAAGAGGCCAAAACTTATTTCCTTCAAAAGGGAAGATCACATTGCATTAGGGACACATGTACTTGATGCATATGCACTCTACATGCGATAAAAAATATTATAAGCCATGTAAGTGAACAAATAATCTAAAAAGAACATTTTCGAAAGAGAACAAGTATACAAGTAATTCACAACTGAAGTCCAAGAACCACAAATCTAGGCTATGATACCAATACTTATAACAACCCTCTCGGAAAGATGCTACCACTTAAAGGAGAAATCTAATTTAATACTTGCGGCATTCAAAAGAGATTAACAAAGGGCATATTGATTATAGTCTAGTAGAGGAATTAGGTTCATAGAAAAAAAAAATTAGTTAAAGAAGTGAAACCTGCCCATTTACACATTAATTTGATGCCAAACTGAAACTGCGTAACATTTTATCTTATGGTGGAAGAACCCTTCCAAAATAATCTAAGCAAATAACTTACTAGGTTTTCCTGCATATTTCATCCTCACACTTAAAATAATATAAAAGAATAGTACCAACTTTTGAGTACCAACATTTGCCGGTTCATGCTTCACACAAACATTCAAAACAAATAGTAAATTTATTATATTACAAGACTTGGGTTTACACACCCCAAAAAGAACAAAACATATGGCCATACTTATATTACAACCCATGGTGACATGGTCAAATTAGCCTTCGAAATTTCATGTAAATGTACAACATATAGATCATGTACAAGTCCCAAGATTTATGCAAACTATAGATGCCTATATGCAAATGTGATCTTCATTAAGGCTCTCAAAATCTCCATCTCCAATGGCCAACTTCATGCATCCTCTCAAACATTCCCTATGATAGAAACAATTATCGCTAACCATATAGCTTAGTGGTGTAAAAACTATAGGTT